CATGTTCAACTTGCCATGGACCAGAACCCCTCAGTTGCAGGTGTGCAGCTAACATGACTTTATGAAGAACAAATGCTCAGTGTTATCTCCTGTTCAGTTTTCTCTCCCAACTAAACCTAATTGGGCTCAGATAGAGACAGTGGGGGGGGAAAAAAAAAGAGGTGCATGAAGAATAGGGCCTACACCTTGACGGCTGTATCAGCTTCTGGTTATCAGAACCAGCGTATCTCCTCTTACTGAGGCTCACACATCTCCCAGTGGAAATAGGAAAAAATAACCACTCTGAGTCAGTGGTCCTTGTAGCCGTGTATTATTACAGTTCTTGAGTCAGAAATATATGGTATTGTAGTTCCAACAGTAGAACGGGTTCAGAGAGAGGGTAGGAAAATGCGTAAAGAACCATGTCAAAGCCCTAACTGGATGCTGAGAGAAACATTAAAAACATGGGGCAGAGAAATGCAACTAGCTTCAAGAAAGAATCAAATGGAAACCAAGAACTCTACAAGAAGATCTGCTGGTGGGGAAAAAAATATATATATATTAGAGTGAATAACCTTACCTTTATTCCCAGACTTCTAAATGGATGAAAAAAAACCACCACAAAAGAAGAGAACTGAGAATTACAAAGGAAAAGGGGGACTAAGAAGAGAGATGAGAAACAAGAAGACAGGAAGAAACTGAGGTAGTATCTTGTACAGGAGGAATAAAGAACAACCACAAGTGACAGCAAAATCCTACCAAAAAAACTCATCTAGAAGGAAGGATTTTTTCAATATATAAATTAGTTTATTTTCATTTAGATAGAAAAGTTATAAATACAACTCATGTAAACCAGTAGCTGAGAAAAGAGCACTGAATCAGTTCATCCAGCTGCATAATCTGACTGAGACCCTGAGGAGGGGTCTCAGTCAGATCCTCCTAACCCTGGGAGGATCACTTGATGTCCACAAAGAGCTTGAAGAGCCACTGCTGACATGCTGAACTGAAAGGGTGAGTACAGGGAGGCTGCTGTGGCCTTCTGAGCTCAGGGAAAGTCATCGGGAATTGGGAATCAGCACTCTACCTTCAGGTCATCCCAAACTAACATAAGACAGTTTCTTTCACACAGTCCTAGTTGGAAAAATAATCAGACAGGTGACAACAAACTGACTTGGTGTGTTGGATGGGTAGAGGGAATGCAGAGCCATCAGCCAAGAACTCGGAGGAGCACATCTGGAAAACACCACCAGGTCTTGTCCCCAGCCTGAGGAGCAGGAAGTACGTGAAGGCACTGAAGAGATCCATGATTCAAGTTCTCTTCACCAGCTGCTCCGCTGATGAGATTATCTCAAGACAATGGCTCACGCAGAATGGGCGTCCAAGAGAGATGCAAGCTGGAGTTCTCAGCAGCAGTTGAAAATTTACAGTTAAATACAGAGCTTACACATGATTAACATTTTTTTTTTTCCTGGCAATATCAGAAAAAGTCTTCACAAAGTTTTATCATTTTGAAAGAGCGAGTGATATCTACCACTGCAAAGGCTCCAGAGACCAAAAGCAATAAATCTGGCTCTTTGGAGCTTGAAACAGAGTTAGTCTGCTGACAACAACAATATCCAGGGCTGGAGAACACTTATTCTTAGAATCATCGAATCATGGAATGTTGTGAGTTGGAAAGGACCCAGAAGGATCATCGAGTCCAACTCTGGAGTCAACTTCTTGTCTCAATAGAGGGACAGAGTTTTCCAGGATCATCATGAACATGTGTAATGGCCACATAACAGGCAAGAGAGTAACTGTTCTCTGCTTCAGTACCCAGCAGATGTGTACGCTGCCGAGCTTACGTGTCACCGCAGGCAGCAATTCACTCAGCTGAATTAAGGCCACACATATCCAGAAGGATTCCGTGCCGTGACCTACAGTCTCCATCTTGTACATCCAGCATTAAAAATGGAACACTGGAAGGACACATTGCCAAACCCCATGATATATTTATTAATTGTTTTAAAAACTGATGGTTTTGAAAACACCTGTAATCTTTTGAGGTAACTCCTTCTTATAGTCAGGTTAAAATTATTTATATAAAATCTACTTTGATATGTCATGACTTGAGATAAGCTCATGTTAAAAAAAAATATTAAATCAGTCACTAACTTATTCCTAAAAATGTAGCAAATTTTACAAACAATGGACAAATTTTAAAAATATTTCTGATCAGCTGACAGTCGTGATCCAATCAGTCAGAACACCGTATTTCAGGAACAGCACTGTATGTTGTTACAATACCACACTCTGCCAACTTCAGTCCAATTCTAGCATCAGTCTCATTTTCCACATGATTAAGAAGAACAGAAACAGCAATGGGTATAATGTCACCGATTGAAAAAGGAAAATTTGAGATTGGATTGTTCTTTATTTGGGAAAAAGACTGTCAAACAATATGGAACAATTAGAATAATGGAAGGGAACAGGACATCCAGCCTTAATGGAGAATCACCCCTCAGAGTGAGAGAACAGTGTTTTACCAGAGCCAGCGTCTCACTCCAGCTCAGCGTTTGTTGAGCTGGAATTACCTACGGTTGCGCAGAGCCATAACCTGAATCCTTCCATGTCTGACTGTTGTAACAGACAACAGGGCAAAAAGAGAACACATGCCAATAACGGTCCTCCTTGGTTTTTTTTAATTTTTTTGAACTTGAGAGTTCCTGATCTGATCAGTAGCATCATCTCCAGCAGCACTGTGGAAGTTCCAAGGTATATGAACACTAACCCATCGTTTTTCTAATCCCAACTGCAAGGGGTTCCAATTAGTGGGTTAAATTCCTTCACCTCCTCTCATGCAGCATCTGTTACAAGGATTCTGAAAGCAGAATCAACATCAACAACAAAAACCATCACCCCTATTTCTCGTTCTTCCACAATGCACACAGAGAGTGCTCATCTTGGGACAGTCTCCCAGGATGGTCGACTGTCAAGTACCATCACGCTCTGAAGCCTGGTGGTTGCTTTCTAGGAAGCCTGCCAAGTCTGTCCTCCAGTTCCCTTCCCTCCCCAATGTGCTTTTCATTGCTCCACCTGGAACTCTTACAACAAGATGCAGGGATGGGAACGAGTTCCATGTTTCAAGTCTGTTGTCTCTCATTCACAGGCCAATTTACTGTCAAAGCTGGAGAGTCCAATAGCAAAGGCCTGAAGAGCACAGAGAGGATAATTATAGTCCAGAGTGAACACATCTTCTGCTACACGCCCAAACTGCATCACAATGTAGTCAGCTGGGGAGAAAAGAAAGATGCAGATGTGAACAATTTCACAGTGAAGCAAACAAACAAACAAAACACCCAAACAAACAAAAAACCAACCACAAACAACAAATCACACGTGTCTGGTAGTCTCAAATATACGTGGTTGGTGTATCCATCCTTCCTTCCCAGAGTGGCCTTGAAATGTGTTCTCTAGAGTGACTGTGTTATTCTAGAATCACACAGAATCACAGAATCATAGCAGTTGGAAAAGACCTTTAAGATCATTGAGTCCAACCGTAAACCCAACACTGCCAATTTCACCTCTAACCCATGTCCCTGAGCACCTCATCTGCCTGTCTGTTAAATCCCACCAGGGAAGGTGACTCCACCACCTCCCTGGGCAGCCCGTGCCAATGCCTGAGAACCCTTTGGGTGAATAATTTTTTTTCTCAATATCCAATCTAAACCTGCCCTGGTGCAACTTGAGGCCATTTCCTCTTGTCCTGTCACTTGTTCCTTGGTTGAACAGACCCACCCCCACCTCTCTACACCCTCCTTTCAGGGACTTGGACAGAGCCACAAGGTCTCCCCTCAGCCTCCTTTTCTCCAGGCTCAACAACCCCAGTTCCCTCAGCCGAGAACTCAGCACACTTGTGCTCCAGACCCTTCCCCAGCTCTGTTTATTACCTTTCTTCTCAGAACCAAAGCTCAAACTACCCTTTTGCTGGGTGAAGCTGCTGTATTGATCCTTTTCTTTTCCCTTCATTGGGCACCTCTTTTGCTGCAGCTATGGACAGCAGTCTCTGCACCCACCCCAGGAAAAGAGAGACCTTATATAATCTTGACAGCTGAGAAGTCCCCAGTAATCCTGAGCTGATTCTTCCACCCAGTTTTCCTTCTCCAGGTAGAGTGTCCTATTCCTCCCAAACCTCACAAAATAAATTGGGTTCTCCCTGTTCGAATAAGCCCCACACACTCTCCACCAGACTCTTACGGTCATTTTCATGGACAATCTGGAAGTTCTTCACTGAGGCCTGAGTGACTCTCCCATGGAAGTTCAGAACATAGGATTGTGTATCATCGTTCCAGACTGGAGCCTTGTTGTGCAACTCAATGAGGTTCTCTAAATGTTGGTTTTGCCATTTTGACAGCAGACTGTCATGTTCCTGTTCAGAAGAAAGAAATATATTTATCAGATGTGGAATGGCTCTGCTTTTGAGTACCGCCTCTCCCATGCGTCCGCACTCTATCTTTGAAAGTCATTCCCTGTTTAATGAAACACAAAGACAACACTTAAACTCAGTCCTACTGAAAATGTCCTGCAAGTACCAGGAAGATACTTTCACGGATTCCCAGTCCAACATTCCTTCCCACTCAATAAGCTATCCCCATATTTCCACCCAAGCAAGAAAAATAAGTGAGGGAGAAGGAAGTGTGTGTATGGGAAAGGGAGCAATTCACAGGCCACAGATGACTGCCATCCTGCTGGCAGGAATATTTTCTGAGCTTCGTCAGCTTTCTCTGATCCTTTTGGATCCAACTTTCATTTCTAACATTCTAAACTTGGAAACAAAAGAAAATAATCGACAATTAACTGTCGAGTGCCAGGCCCTGGGGTACTTCAGTGGAAAGTCCAAAGGCTGCAGTGGGCTGTCAGCCTGCCTTAAGTAGGTTAAATATCATCCTGTTGGGTCTAATAAGTGATCCGCAATATAAAAAAAAGAAATAAAAACAAAAAGACAAAAAAAAGAGGTAAAACAGCGCATTCAGTTTGACAAACAGAATGGATTACAAGGAGCTGCAAACAGTAGCGAGTGAAAACACGTGACATACCATTTAATTTTAAAAGTTCTGCAACAAATAAAATCCAAATTGAAATAAAATATGATCAAACTCCCAAGAAAAAGAATCCAAACTGAAGTTATTTAATGGGAAAAAATGATCAGAAAACAACCTGTTGTGGCGGTTTGATACGGCTATATTAACTGTTTTAGTGTTGCATACAGATATGACAGTAGACTTTTGAGAATCACCTAAATAAAAGTTACTGTTCAGTTTAAACTTGTTACTTTTTATCTTTATTTACTTTTTTTAAAGACGTAAAAAGAACTTTGAGAACTGGCAACAACAAAGTGCATTTAGATGCAATTTTTCCTCCTTTGAAGTGGGGTAACATTGCTTAACTGGAGGCCTGGCACTACAGAGAAGGGCCAAAACCAGAGTCAAACCCCTTCCCTGAAAGCTTTGATGACTTTTCAGAGCAGCTTTGTGCTTCAGCCTTCTCCCCCGGCAGTACACCCACCTGCTAGCAAAATGGTTGGGAAATAAGGGAGAAAAATAAAGGTAAGGCCATGGAATCATTGCTGTACTGATGGGGGAGATGGCAATGCCAACCGAAAGATGATGAATCAATGACCACCTCCAGATACAATTTTCCTGCCCATTCACAAAATCCAACCTCTTTTCCAGACTCTCAAGACTCTGCATTTCCATTCTGAATCTTTTTTTCCTCTGACCTCAACAAATACACTCTTGTTCTACTCATATCTCCTTAGGATATGGCCGCAAATACTATTTTAAAGCTTGAGAATCCTCCTCTTCTGTGATTCCTGTAGAGTCTGACAACATTCTGACCAAAAATGTATTTACTCTCTTGCTACTACACCAGAATGAAACCTTATCTATTTATTGTCTACCTGTTGTAATCTGTATACCCTGGGAGAAGCAAGTTTGTTCTGCGTTCATCCAACTCTCCACGTAACAGGGGTCCCACCCATGAGGAGCAGTTGTAGGTGCAACCACAACAACATAAACTAGCCATTGTAATAACTAAGTAAATACTATTTAGGCTGACCAAAGGACAAAGAAGGATACAAATACTATTCAGAAGGATACAAATTAGGTAAAAGGCCAGAAAAAATTAATCAACACCTTCGGGCTACATTGTATTTACTTTCCATGAGTCTTGCTAAAGCCCTGAGTATTAACAACCTTGCTCTGAAACCCCTCATTGTCAGTAACACCCAGCCCTCTACCAGAAAGTTTTAACCTCTTCCTCCAATGCAAGCCATGACTGAACTCCATAACTCACATTTCGTGGATGGATTGGAATTCGCTTATTATTCGTATTCATTCCTGGAATGATCACAGACATTTTTCGGGGACCCTTGAATCCTAATACATTGGTTTCCTGAAAGACAAAGAAAGCCATTATTTTCAGTAAATCAGATATTCCATCGCAAAGAAGGGCAGACAGGAAAACTGACCTTGAATCCACATTTATATTGTTTTTTAGAGATTTGCGAGCTACAGCTGGTTCCTGGCCTAGATCAGCACTAGTGTGGCCAGTAGGACCAGGGAAGTTCTCTTCCCCCTGTGCTGGGCACTGGTGAGGCCACAGCTCGAGTGGTGGGTTCAGTTCTGGGCCCCTCGCTCCAAGAAGGACATGGAGGTGCTGGAGCGTGTCCAGAGAAGGGCAACGGAGCTGGGGAAGGGTCTGGAGCACAAGTGTGCTGAGTTCCCGGCTGAGGGAACTGGGGTTGTTGAGCCTGGAGAAAAGGAGGCTGAGGGGAGACCTTGTGGCTCTGTCCAAGGCCCTGAAAGGAGGGTGTAGAGAGGTGGGGATGGGTCTGTTCAACCAAGGAACAAGTGACAGGACAAGAGGAAATGGCCTCAAGTTGCACCAGGAGAGGTTCAGATTGGATGTCAGGAAAAACTTCTTCACCCAAAGGGTTCTCAGGCACTGGAACAGGCTGCCCAGGGCAGTGGTTGAGTCCCCATCCCTGGAGGTATTTAACAGACGGGTAGATGAAGTGCTCAGAGATGTGGTTTAGTAGTGGACAAGTACGGTTGGACCTGATGATCTCAAAGGTCTTTTCCAAACAAACCATTCTATGATTCTAGGACGCTGTAGCAGCAGTTATCTAACGACAACCGTGTTTAATCCCTGAGCATGGCTTTCTCTCCCATTTTGAGAACTGCATTAAAAGACATACACACTATTACCTAATTTAGAGCGCACCTGTTATCCTAACGAAACAAAATCCTAACAAAATCAGACAAGTGCAATTTCCAGGCATAAATCTTCTGCATCTGAGGGAAAAACTTGCTAAAATCTGCCTAGTGAATAAGCCTTAAGCGTGATAAAAGGCAAATAACTTTGACCTGAGTCTATGTTATCTGTCATCATTCATGCTAAAATGTTTCTGAAGAATGAATAACATTCTTCTTTAGGTGCTGCTATTTGTGTTTAAGAGTATACCTACAATTTTCTCTCAAATCATGCTCTTTTATAAATGACTGAGACTCAGAAGGCAAAGTATTCAGCATCTGTCCAAGCTTCAATCTTAACCAGATTTTTCCAGGGTACTGCAGGAGACTGCTCCAAGTGGATTGAGTATAAAAAGCAAAGGAAAAAAGTCCATTCTCAAACCATTTAATGTCAACCAAAATCCAAGGGTCCATTTAAAGTGTTCCATACCAATGTCAGTGATAACCTTTAAAATTCCCAAAGACCAATTAAAAAGCCAGAATCTTTTAGAATTCATCCCCAAATGGATTGATAGAAGCGATACAGTTTCTCCTAACACGCTAGTGGATTTTGGAGACACAGAACAAAGGTCTTCAGAGTTGCAACCTCTATTATTTCACTTCAAAAAATCAAGGGGCACGTAAGAGTATGAGGGTACTGATTTTATTCATATATAAACTCCATGAACTTCTTGTAGATAAAAGTGCAGAAATGTAAAAAGCTGACTTTATATATTATCTGCTGTAAGCATTTTATCACCTTGCTGTGTACAATTAGGTAGGGAACTGAAGAACACTGTATATGAAGAAAATATCTGGTGGTGCTTCTGTAAATGGGCTAGTACTAGAATTATCATACCATTTTTTTCCCCAAGTGGCATTAAGATCAACAGCAAAAAAGTCAAGATTATGTTCCACTAAATTTCTGCTGCTGTACCTGTTCTAAAAGTAAAAATCCTTCCACTTGACTGGCCATCATTTTGTAAAGAACCTCAAATTTTATTCAAACTGGAACAGGGAACAATGTGATGTGAGAACTCTCACATAATTCTGGAGTGTCCACAAGTGCCTCCTCACTCTGAAGCCTAGACTGAGGTGATCCACAAGACCAGAAGAAGAAAAGGTCTCTAGGACAGAGCTAGTGAATCACAATTTCCCCTGGAACCATATCCTTACCAACACCAAGCTGTTACTGAAATCATACCAGCTCCTTCCTATCCACCAAAATGCCTGGTTCTGCAAGAAATAACTCTTCCTTCACAGGCTACTCCCAGTTCCTTCTTAGCATCCACCAGATATCAGCTGGGCAAGAGGCAGTTGGTGCTGTGGCTAACTGGCCACACGCCGAACGACAGGCCAGGCAAGGAGGTCATCAGGTTGTTAGTTTGGGTCTCTCTCCCTCCATTGATTTTTTTTTTTTTTAATTTAATTTAATTTTATTTTATTTTATTTTTTTTAATGAAACTTGTAAGAACTTATCTTTAAAGCTTCTACCCTTTTCTAGTATCTGGTTGAACTCAGTCAGTTGGATCCAAAGTAAAGTGGGGGAGGCTGCCAGGCAGCAGGATTTTTTAAACCCCATTTCCTCAGCAACTAGGCGACAAAAGAGAAAGAGGCAAAAAGGGAGAGGCACTACTTACATAGCAAATAGCTGCAAGCTCCTGTCTCGTGTGAGCCTTTTCCACTGGACCTTGTGCCTTGGCTGGGCTAACTCCACGGTCATAGACTGTAAATTTAGTTCCCATGAGGTTTGACCTAATGTCAGGTTATGGAAAGACAAAGAAAGAGAGAGGAGAGGCATCAGTGGAAAGCTTTGTCACCTTCTGAAGAAGGTATTTGTGCAGCACACTGAAAACACACACCTCTTGACATCTGAATCTTCCTATTGCCAGCTTTGTAAGGAGCTTCTGTCAAGTGCGCACAGTGAACTTGTTACTGATTTGCCATTTTATTATTATT